ATTAACCTCTTTAGGCAGGAAATGATGTGGAACATTAGTGGATTTATAATAATTTGCCAAAAGTAGCTTGAGTAATAGAGTTAGTCAAGGGCGCAAGCCAAGATCAAGGCACGGAAACGGAAACAAGGCGTGGTAAGCGTTGTAAAATAGCATTAAGGTTGTGAAAAACAATCAAAATTCCAGAAGTGAGGAGACAAGGCTTTCTGAACCATAGAAAAGACTTAACAGTTCGTGAAAATGCCTGCAATTCCATGGCCAAACACTGCAGTGAAAGGAAACATAAAGGTTCCCAATCCATAACTGAAACTGCGACTGCCTGTTTTCTGGCTATTTTCGTTCCAACACAAATGTACAGTGGAAAGCTGAGGGTGAAACCCCTGAGGAATGGAGGTCACTTATAACCAATTAGGCCTCTAGCCTGGTTAAAAGAACAAAAACACACTCATTAAATACATTCATTCAATTAATGCATGCATGACTCGTTGGTTATACGTGCACACCAACACCCACACCAATACACTGCATTGCCACAGTAACAGAACACAGTTGAGTCATTTGCTGTGACTGATGGTCGAACAACAGCAGAACCCACTGCTTTGATTAAGCCTCTGGTGTATTGTATCCCACAATGCACTGGGCCCTTTCACTGTACCTGCGATAAGGGAATAACTGGACCAGCTGCATGCCATGGAACATTCAACAATTGAATAGCAGGGTTTGGTTGCCTAGCAACCGAGGCAGGAGCTGGTGATGATCTGGTAATTTTCAAAGTGCTTTTGTGTTATCTCGTCCTCTGACAACCTTCCTGCCGCTTGTAGTTTAAATTAAGCACAAAAAAGAACGGGGACAGGAACGACAATGATACACCAGTGGTCACTGACCTGAGTGACTGAAGGAGTAGTGAAGGCTATCGACAAAGTTAAATCTGTCAATAACACATGTGTACAAAAAGGATATTAATATTAATCAATTTATCTTGAACATGGAAAATCTGGAGTCTCTTGCGTGAAAGGGAGCTGACTGGCAGACTGCTGGCAGATGATTTGAATTTGCTTCCAGGAATTGCCATTAATGTCTTACAGAAGTTGAGTTACCAGGTTACATATTTACAAATCTGTTAGCACCTTCGGGCATTAAGGCATTACACACATATTCACTGAGCCTTAGATGAAGAGGTTGCTAAGAATTCAAATTAAATAGATACTCTGCTGACTGACAGTTAAGGATATGTAAATATTTAAATAAAATATGCTTATTATAAATATTGCGGCTCACATTAAGTGTTAGTGAAGAACTTGCCAATTCACAAAAAAAAAAAACTTGGAGAGGAGATTGCCATCTCATTCTGCAAGTGAAGGGTTCAAGCACAGGTAATTCAAACAATCATTAGAGAGGAGTGGGTTGGCCAAACAAAATTTTATTCAAGAGGCTAATGGGCACCAGCTTTTTCAATGTGTCAAGGGGAAACTCATTGGCATTTATGGAACTCACTTTGGCACACTTCGATCTAGTAATATTCTAGTCGTTCATAAAAACAATGACCACAATCACACTGATAAGGAGATTTGGGCTGAGACTTAATTTCACAAATGATTAAGTATTTTGAGGGCATTGAGGGAATTTAAACTACTCTAATCTGGATTAAATCTAATAAAATCAACCTAGTTCTTTTGGCCTGGTTATAATAGCTGTCACTGACTAAAACCAAGAAGTGCCACATCTTTATTCTATTTCCCCTAGTCCTGTCAGTTGCCCTCCATAATGTCTTGACATTTTTTTGCCCTTTGATAACAAATAATTGCTTAGCCCCTGAACAGCTTGAGCCTACCTGGCTGCGTATAGGCTACAGAGAAAGAAATCTGGTCCAGCAGAGAAGCAGCTTACTGTTGAACATGATCATCAGAGAGCTTGCCGCACACTGGCCTGAGCTGCCAAGCTGAGCTGCAAGTTAAATGAATTGCTTCAGAAACCCCTGACCTTGTGTGTTGGTTGCAAGCCTTAACCAGTGCACCAGGACAGCAGGGTCAATATTGACAGCATATTGTGAGATTTATAACTGAGCATGCACTTAATCCTAAAGATACATTTATTTTTAGAGAGATGGTAATTGCTTCAGTATCAGAGATAAAAGGTTCTTAATGGGTCTTGCAATACAAGTCTATCTATCTTTATTGCCACCAGTAAACAGGCTTGTCATAGATAATGTTCAGATGTTGCCTGCACTGCCATAAAAAAGGTACCATAAAAGGAATGGTGAATACAATCTGACAAATCACCTGATAGGATGAAAAAACCAAGTGTTCAGACAGCCATAATGGGATCCTAAGTACTAAGTACACACCCAGTGAATTTCATTCTAAATACTTATTTAAAATGCCATTTCATTTTAAATTAGATATTCATTTTATTTATCTTAAACTAGGAGACATGTTTATTATTTTATACTATGAATCTGAAGTAGATGAGTATCGAAGTTTTTGCTGTCACATTTTAAAAAAGCAATTAAAAGCAAAATAATAACCGCACAATGTAAGGAAGACAGTTCTGCCGTGTATTGAATTCCAATTCAACATTTGAAAATCCTATTTGATATTGTTTGTCAGTCTGCAGCACAATTTACAATGAATGCCCTGTCAGATTGAAGCATTTAGTTGATATGTGGATGACAAGTGTCTGAAAGGACTATATGTTATTAGAAGATGACAGGAAAAAAGAGAGAAATCTTCAAAGACTGGGTTGAAACGGACACAGTTGTTTGACACAGTCTAGTTTTAGTGCTGCCAGGGAACATAAAATTACATATAAAATGGATTCATTTAAGTTCAGATGCAAATGCAGAGCTTCCCTTTCCCAAAATAAGATGATTTGTGTCAGGCTGTGGAGTGTTTTAGGGTGAGGTTAATTGATTCAGATGTGGCATTAATTTTTTTCATAAATAGGCAATTTATAATGACATTTCTCTAGGCTATACATGTATGTCTAGTACTCCATTAAAAAAGGTTGTTTATACGTGTCCTTGTTTGAAAAATTAAGTCAAGCAATTATTTCTGTATCCATGAGAGTCTGCAGAGGCTGTTTGTGTTCATAACTTTTCTCAGACCTTGTTAAGTGAAGTGTGTCAGGTGCATCCTGGAAGCTTGTGATATTGTAGGATCTAAATCTCCCTTTCAACTTGTTATGATATTCCTTTCCTCTCTCTCTTTCCTATCATTGCAGCCACTCTGCACGGTATGCAAGCAGAAATGCAACAAAAACAATCTTAGAAATGCACCTGGGAATTGAAAAAAAAAACCCAAAACACTTCTGTTGCTCAGTCCAAATGAAGCCTGGGTCTCTAAACCTGTTAAACAATTGTTTCATCTTCTTCACTCACAAAAACACCCTAAGCAGAAGCTTTTGGGTGCACAAAGGTTGTAGCAGACCGTTCGATATTAAATCCAGCCAATTATGTTTGCCTCTCATGAAGTGGCTCTCTAAGCAGAGCTGCATTATCATTCATGTCAAAACCAGCTACATCACAACTGCAGCAGTCATCACACAGACACATTTCTTGGTGGCATCACTGCTGTCAGAGCGACTAGTCTCATTATCCCAGTAGAAGAAAATTGGGCAATTTCTATTACACGATAGCACTGATTCAGAATTGAATCGATATCCATCAATGGCATTGTGGTCATTGGATTGCATGATGCAAAACAGCTGAATTTAGCTGTTACTTTGGTTGTGAAGTGTGCAGAAGACTGTTGTCTTAAAATGCATTAAAACCAGTGCTATTTACCACTATAAACCAAAATTTAGTGATCAATCGAACATAAAGCCTCCACAGCAGCTCTATAGTGAGAAAATTTACTTTCCCCATTTGGTCCCAGACATTTCTAATCAACAGCAGACTAACTCTCAGGTCTAGCAACCGTGGAATAATTGAAAATGTGCTTTGTGGAACCCTGTTAGATTTATGACAGACCCTTCCCTACCGATTTATTTTCAGAAAGCGCCTCTGTTTTATGGTTTTCACACACGCAGCTTTTCTCCCTGCTGCTCTCTGAATCAAACGGTGTCTATATGGGAGGTGTGAAGCTGTTTGTGTGTTGGAGGGGTGGAGAGGGAGACGGAGACACACCAACACATACACACACACACACAGACAGTGGGAAGAGATCACACCTTCTAGACTGTCAAATGCCAGACAGGTGGATAACCAGACAGATAGAAAGAAGGTATGACACAGACAGTCCAGAGATAGCAGGACATTCTCATTCCATTTTTTGAGCAGAGGTTAAGATCCTAAAACTTCTCATCTTTGAATAATATCTGAGGTCTTGGAGTTATATTCAGAGGAATATCAACTTTAGTATTCACAATTCAAAATTTTTTAGCCCACGACCATAAACCAATATGCCTTACTGTCACAAGGGGCTGTCGCACATTTCTGACCTTGAGTACATTTCTGTTTTCTACCTTGTCCTTTGAGGGCGGTTAAATACTGTAACATCTATTTGAAATGATAACTGGGTTTTGTTGCTTTACAGGCTACAGGATATACAGGGGACTACTGCGTTTGTGTGGTTGGGTTCAAATGTCAAATTGCTGATTTCTTTACCCTATTTTCTGGATGGTCTACAGTTACATAATGATTAAAATGTTTTTATTCCAAATGTTTCGAAGATGTCAGCTGAAATTCACACTTGGACTCATTCAAGATCAGTTCCAGGAGGTGGCTTTAATTTATGATGTTTATATCATGGTATATTGAATATATTTGTTTCAAAGTTCAGGTGTTGAGTGTAGATTTTTACATTATGTAAAGTGAATCCCCATTTCAGCTGTGGGGACCAGAATGACAACATTCCTAGAAAAGTGAAGTCTACAAAATCCATGAAAACCATTAAAGGAAAGCTGAAGTCTAGACTCTGAGATGGTGACTCTACTAATGGATATGTGGAATATATCTACTGACATATCAGGTTTACATGCATCACTGTGTTGTTGGAAACGCATACCTCAACTATGGTGGTTTTGGCTGCCTTGCACATAGGTTGGTTGAAGTTTCTGGCTGTTTTCCTGACAGAAAAGTGCAAGAAAGATTTGATATTAAAACAAATAGGAGGTAGGGAAATATGTCTAAATAGAGATAAGGAAGAAACACTCAGAAACTCTCACTGTAATATCCAAATATCATACCTAGTATAAACAGTTAGAATACTGGAAGACACTGCTCTCTTGTGGGGAAAAACTTTACTACATCTACTCATTTCCATTATTTACATTCACCAAGTTGGTGCAAATTACCTCGCTTAGATGGAGGATCTTTAATTAATTTACACTGTGTTATAGCTAATGTGGATATCCATGTACAGGTGTAAAAAGCAATTCATTATTTTAGATTTTTCCACAGCTTTCATATATATGCTGTTGAGCTATAACTAAATAAGCATTGAGTGAGGATCCAATCATCTCTAGAAATAAGTGTACTGTTTGAATAATTAATGATATAGAAGCTGATGTATATACTATATGTTCACAAACAAAATAAAACCATGTAGCCAATACAGACAGAAAATGTACTGATTATAATCAGTCCAAACATCAGTATATCTCTCTCAAAGATCTTATAGAAATTAAGGTCAAGGTCAAACTAAGTGAACACCTATTGCTAAGAACCAACCACTTTCATTAAACTACAGTTTCACTCTTACCCCATGACACCAGCAACATGTGCTACTGGTTGTTGTGCAAACACAACAGAGGTGATTAAGATTAAGTCTAATATGCTTTAAGGCAGGGAGAGGCTGAATCCTTGACAAGAAAAATACTGGCATTGCTATAATGCAACAGGTAAGTGCTAATGATGTGTGATCTGTAGATATTTCTGTTTAGTGCACCAGCTACCTGAAAACAATGTTTCCAGCCCTGTCAGCTTTCCATGCCTTGATCAGCGCAAAGTCTCCAGTGATGGCCTTTTCCATGATGTAGTGCCTGCCATTGAACTCCTTTACCTGCACACAATGACAAGGTAGGTTGGCAGGTTAAGAATGAACATGTCGACCTGTTTTACAGCATTTTCAGACTTGGCCCAGATAGAGAGTCCACATTACATACATGAACACATTGCAGTTGACAATCCCTCTTAAGTGTGTGTTATAATGTAAATCCTATACTGACTGATTAATGTAGCATAGGTATGGATAAATATCTACAGTTGTTCCAAGGAAAATAAAGTTTGCACTGACTTCATGGTGGGCTTGATGGGACAACCACAACAGGGATGACAGCACCCTTTACCTCTCTCTTCTCACTAGCGATTGCAATGCTGCCATCTTTGTTGTACTTAATAGGAGAGCCTCCCTCTTGGATCAGTGTGCCATAGCCGGTGGCTGTGAAGAAGCCTGGAATGCCAGCACCCCCAGCCCTGATCCTCTCTGCAAGAGTACCCTGTGGGGAAGAAGGTAACGGATTAAAAGATCAGTACAACAAATAAATGTCAACTGCATTCCTTTGTTACTGTCAAGTATATAATACATACAGTCTGATCATTTGGAGGTTGGAATTTAACATGTCAGCACTTATTGAGCATGTGTTTTCATATGAGGGTATAATTTTCTTATTTTTGTGAACATTCATGTATAAACCCTTCCATATGTTTTCTGACCAACCTGTGGTGTGAGTTCCACTTCCAACTCCCCGGCCAGATACTGTCGCTCAAACTCTGCATTCTCCCCGACATATGAAGAGATCATCCTCTTGATCTGCTTAGACTGGAGCAGCAGGCCCAGGCCAAAGTTATCCACTCTGAAGAACACACACACACACACACACACACACACACACACACACACACACACACACACACACACACACACACACACACACACACACACACACACACACACACACACACACACACACACACACGGTCTTGGAGTGTGTAGCCATTTATTTTGTGTGTAAACACAATTAGGATTATGATTTTAGGCAGTTTTATTTTCATTTTATTGATACTAATATTGATACTGCAGAACTCCTACAATGCACAAACTTTTGCACATGCCACAATGTTTTTATTTTTGTACAATTTATGAAATAAAACGAGACAATGCATGAATGCCTGCTACAAATATTGTGTTTTATGTCCCATACCCAGAGGCTGTGTTAAAATCTGTCAAGGGGTTCACATAGAACTGTATGTGTTTATGAGTGCATAAGCATGCAAAGCATTCAGATCTGACAACACCCTCCCTGAATGCGGGGATGAAAATACAGCTATATTTTATGTTTAGAAAAGGACAAAAATGTGTGTTTACTAACCTATCTGGAAAATAAATTTGCTTGGTTTGAATCCCATTAAAGTTGGTCACAACTTAATGACCATGGGAACATGTGGGTTCCACAGTAAGACGGTTTGAGAACCACTGGACTATGAAGGCAGTGGTTCCCAGTGGCAGTAATGACTTAACTGAACAAATACCAAAACAGAAGAGTGTGTCTTTATTTTAATTTTCATAATTTAGGTAGAAAACCATGCTTGACAAATAAAACTTAAATAAAATGGAGGGGGAAAGACATTACACTAAGCGTTTGCTTATACATAGATTTCTTCCCCAGATTAATGATATTTCAACATTTTATTCTATATTTTGTAGGTTCTATTCTTTTTTCATCGTCTCCATGCAACTTGACAGAGTTTGAGCAGTTTTGCAAAGAAGAATGGTGAACAACTGTAGTGTTCAACTGGGAACAGCTGATATATAGACTCAAGACTGCCTCTACTACAAATTGTCTTAAAAGTGTGCCAATACTTATGCACTCAATTATTTTGTGTTTCATATTCATCTGTAGAGATGTGTAGTCACTTTGACATTAAAGTACTTTTTCTTTTGATCTGTACAATGTGAGTCAATGCAGTTCCCTCCACTGCTTACGTCTCAGAGTCGTTTGTCCCTGTGAATGTCCTAACTTTCTACAATTTATAACATAGGTCACATTACCATAAATCCCTAGAGGAGTTATTAAAGATTGTAACTAGGTCAAACCAAGTGATACAGCTCCTTTTTGTGATCATAAAGACAGGCAAAGCACAGTCCGCCTGCAGCCTATCCACACCCATAAGGAAAGCTCAAGAGACCAAACACAGCTGCAGGGCCCAGAGTCGCCACTGAGACTGTCATTTCGTGAGCATCTCTTTGTTCATCTGGGAATACTGCTATGGTCATTACAGGAGTGACAAACTGTGGACTGCAATTTAATGAAGCTGTGATGCTCATCTTGGGCTCAAGTCTGGGTTACGCCTTGGCCACATGGTACTATAGGATGTCCTACATTTAGACCATCACATCTGGACAAACCATCACTGACAGCAAGCAAAACCCATTCTTAAACAAAGTACTGTAGACACTCCTTTCTATCTTTCTGTGACCAAATAAAGTTACTGTGTTACTAGGGTTGCTGAAATAGTCATAAAATAAAATGGGCCAGTAGTTATAAGAGGACTGACCTTGTGTCAGTCGTTGACCTATGAAGTCATAAGTCTTCATAAAACTTTATAAAACATATAAAACTGTTTCAAACCGGGTATTGTCTTGTGATGAAAGCAACATCAAACATCATATCTTACATGTCGCACCCTGTCTGATTACAAGCAATAATTCTCTGAGAATGGGCACCCGGTCAGCTCAGTGGGTAGAGCTGGCGACCCGTGTACCGAGGCTGAGTCCTTGCTGCAGCGGCCCAGGGTTCGAATCCGATCTGCGGCCCTTTGCTGCTTGTCATCCCCTCTCTCTGTACCCCCTTTCCTGTCCATCTTCAGCTCTCACTATCATAAAGGCAATGAAAGCCCAAAAAAAATTCCTAAAAAAATAATCCTCTGAGAAGACGTGTATCAGAGCCAAGTGAAAAGCTGAGCTTTACAAAGAGAGGATTGTCCTTCTTTTCTGTATGCCAAGAAGCTGAGAAACAGGAACTTTGTCTTTAATTGTAACCTCAGGTCACTGACAAGATATCTAGGCCATGTGCGCTCAGAATACCAAAAACAGATGACTGTGACAAGCACCTTGTCACACACACTGTTAGACTTATAACACAGCATGGCTATTCTATGCAAAAGGATTCAGCAATAACTAATGCTAACAGTTTGTGTCTAAAACTGGTGTGTGTGTGTGTGTGTGTGTGTGTGTGTGTGTGTGTGTGTGTGTGTGTGTGTGTGTGTGTGTGTGTGTGTGTGTGTGTGTGTGTGTATTTGTGGACCAAAACCTTGTCATGGATGGACTCCCTGGATTATCAAGGGCATTTCAATTCGGAATCAAAACGCAAGCTCTGTAAATACTAAAAATACTAACTACTAACACAGAGCAGTTTCCAGCATTGAACACAATTTCTTGAACACAAATACCTTTAATATTGAATCTATTCTGTTTGTGTAACATTCCTGCAGCAGCTGATTAAAGAATAAGCTGCAGGGTACGCAGTTCTGCAACAGCGCGATACAATCTTGTGTACAGATGAATCCCACCCATCTCATATTACAGTGTATAAAGAGTCCACTGTGTCAGTGTTCTCCAAAGTCAAATCCACTCAATAGTAGCGAAACACCACAGCCAGGAGTTTCACATAATGCTACAAAATTCATAAAGCAGAACTTCATCACAACATTACCCAAGGGTATGTCCAAATGAAAGCATTTTTTCTAAACCTCTAAACTAAGGCTTGTGTAAATGACACTGCAAGCAGGCAGCAATTCCAAAACCAAAACAACACCCTCAATGCTACCAGAAATAGGTCAGCAATATCTATTGTACAAACAAGATATACAATGGAATCACTTTTCTTTTATTCATACCAGCATTCAATCTTCCAAGTGTGCCAAAATATCACATTCCACTGATAGATCATTAAGGAAAATACTTGCTGAGAAATATTGTATTTATTACAAAGTCCTCAAGATAGTAAAGAATGCCCTCTCCATTATCATGTCTGCATTATTCTTTATTTCTGAGATTATACAAGTACTTTACATTACTTGTTTGGCAAGTTTCATTGAGGAGGATTAACAATCCATTCAGGCATTCAGGAGGAAGCTAGCAGAGGAAGGGGAGTCTTCTATCTAAAATTAAACATTACATAACTTCTTTCCCCTTCCAATCCTCTTCCCCAGAGCCAGGGAATATAAACACGATTCAGCTGTGACCAAGGAAACAGTAGACATACGGTATACAGGCCTTGTTAATCAATAATAATTAATGACAGATACCATTGAAAAAAGCCAAATTACGTCTAGGCCCTGTTATTTCATTTCTACTCACATCTTACCGCGCTGTAATGAAGCGTGTTGGCACAGATTATAAATGGCATAATCACACACCACTTTTTAATAACTTCTCACTACTTACTTTGTTATAAAGAGTTCGGTCTAGACCTGCTCTATTTGAAAAGTGTCCTGAGATAACTTCTGTTATGAATTGGCGCTATACAAATAAAATTGAATTGAATTGAAAAATTACTGGTAATGTGCCCTTTTCATTTCCACATTGGAAGAATAGGGGAGTGAATGTGGGGAACAGCTCTCCCTACACATTCTCTACGTAAGTTACTTGCTTCAGTAGGACCTACATGGGGGAAAGTTTCTACACTTTACAAATTAATTTCTGGACCCTATAAATCCTTACCAGTAGAGGGTATCTGGAATAGAGATTTAAATGAAGTAAATGAGAGAGAGATTTGCTGGGACATAGTGTGGAAAAATCTATTATATTATATATATACTATATATATTATAGGGTTCTAATATTGTTGTTTTCCTATGGATGTACAAGAGACTTTGTTTCTGTTTACACTGCTGAGTAGGGGGAAAAGAAAAAAACAAACTGTGTATATATAGTGTACATTTTTCAATAAAAAAATGTATCACAAAAAAAAGAAAATCAATGACAGTCATGTGTAATGCATTCCTGCTAACACCAATGTAACTCCAGAATGTAACTCTCCTCCACTTACAGGCAGATGCATGTGTGTCACTATAAGCCCCAGTCAAACCAGTATTCACATATATACATCTATATACTATAGTTCCCACTAAATAAATATGCAGACTACATGTAGACTGTAATATGAATAAGAAGTTCCACTATGTTGGAACTTGTTCAGAAACCACACAAAAAGAGACATTATGGCCACTGTTTGCAAGTGGTTGTAATTTTCCCCTGACAACTAATGTCTGCTGAGGGAAAATATTTAGGGTAGCAATGATTGTTCATGGGATAACCTGACTCAGGCAAACATTCTGAGTACATGTTCCAAGAATCAATATTCACCAAAATTCAAAGTCCACAAGAAAAGTATGTCAAGCCAGCAGCACATAGGACAGTGTTTTTTAGGCTTTACAACTACTGGCCCCCGAGAAATGTTCTGTGCAGATACTTTGAAGCCATTTTGATCTTCCGAACTCTGGTACTATATAAGGCAATAAGAATTGGTGTGCCACAATTTATGTGATTCTAAACCTCATATTTTTCAGTATTATAAGTGTAGGCAAGTCTTTTCTGAAGCTGAGGCTACACTTCACTATAGGTACTGTATACTACAATGAGTTGAGTTCCTCAAATTGGCTCAAAATAGCCACCATTACGTCTGACAATAGCCTTTTAGCTATAAAAATCTATGCAAAGAAGTTTATAGGTAAGTAGAAATGCAATGAAAGTGCAATATACTTAATAAGAATATCAGACCATATTGTAATTGATTTCAGAGTGAATTAACATATTTGTTTTACAGCTTCAAATGTTTTCAGATGTGACATTCACAATGGCCTTTCTAATACATGTATCGTGTGCAGAGTGCAGTTTCTTAAAAAGGCTGAAGATTTAGCTTTATGCCAAAAAACATAATAAAGATAATTCAAACAGTTTGAATTTTGAGTTCTGTGCCTGCAAATTAAATTTAGGTTGAAATTTAATATTTTTACAAAACATGCTTTCAATAAAAATGAAGAAATAATTTAGCTACAAAGAAAGAAAGAAAGAAAGAAATGTATTTTTGCAGGATCTTTTAAATATTTAAGTAGACAAGATCAGGTTTTGGTCATTGTCTTGAGTTTCAGTGTTGCTATGTAAACAATTGACATACTAATGCTTACTGTGTGGCAGCACACTGGGATTCAATTACGGAAAAAGACATCAATGACAATTGACAAGACAAAGGCTGTTTCTGACTGAAATAGAGATCGTCAACATTATGCTGAACAAAGTCCAAGAAAACCGCAGTGAAAAGCTCAGTTGCTACTGTATTGGTAAATGTTGTTGTCTTACGTATCGTTTATCAGAACTTAAAAATATTTATTTTGTTTTTCTTTCACAACCATAGTTGTAAATATACTTTGTCTTAGTCTTACTGAAAATAATTTAACTTTCTGGACTTTAACCTTAAATGAAGGCTGCCTCCCACTTTATTTTTACAATTTGTATTGAGCTGTGAATCCAGCAGAATAAATGCCTAGAACTAGAGATTTAAGATACTCCATAACAATGTATGCAATAAAAAGATAAGATACATAATAAAAGGATTGAGGTCAGCAGCTGATTGACATGTGCCAGAGGAGAAGCTTCTGAAAGTATTTAAAAGTCTGTCCCACTGAGAGCAAAGACATCACACACAATATCACCTGACCACTGAAGGAGTGGCCGTCTCTGAAATGCAACTTGGATAACTTATCAGAAGCAAACGTCTGGGCAACTCTCCAGGTCAACACCGCTTGTTTGAAGAAACAACGACAAGTTCACCAACACCTCTCCGGTATGACTTTAAAGCGTTCATTAGCTGGAGAGTTACAAAGGACAGAGTGAAAGGGGCCATGGGTGAGTCTCACTTACTGACTCCAGTTTTTAGTACTATCATTTATTAGAGGCGGTAAGTGGGACATGTGGGGAAGGATTAAGACTGTACTAACAACAAGTCCATCTTGTTTCACTGCAGTTGCAATGGGGACTTTACTTATAGAGAGTCACCAAAACGTAACTACCAACTCCTATACTCAAAGAGTGGAGAGCAACCAGAGTCAGATTGAACGTCATTTTCACACACCTTCTACTGAAATAGAAATGACACATGACACTGCAGATATTTTAAGAGTCACATGTGAATCCAAACATGACCGGAAGACGATAAACAAACTCATCTCTACTGTATCAACACACGTACTCTTGAAAAACAGGTTGGGATTTTGGAGTGGTGGTGATGGTGTAAACTTAATATCAAAATCAAACACCACCATGGAATGCACTCCATTCTTCAAGCATATGTTTACATGCAGGCACATACTCACCCTGCATTGTTGCTGACTGCTGTGAGACCCTTAACACCGGACTTCAGTAAACTGTTGATGAGATTCTCTGGGATACCACATAATCCAAAGCCTGTGTTAGAACACCAAAAAAGAAATTAATGTATAATAAACAAAAGAAATTGAAGCAACCAAGGAATCATTGCAAAAAATGTGAAACAGTTAAAATATGGTAATTTAAGGTGAAACTTTCACCTTGTGAATTAGGGACATGGCAAACTTGGTAAACCTTGGCTCAAGCGCCTGGTAACTCTAGCCCATTGTGTTGAACATCTTAGTCAACATTTCTAATATTACACTGAGATTTCAGTTTAACTGTTTTGCCCCGCATATAGAAGTGTGACACGGTGGAAAATGTTTAACAATGTCACTCTGAACTTGACTATAAATAAGAGCCGTGGAATTTCTGTGCGCTCTGTGTGTGGATGCTAGTCAACCCTCATGTTAGACAGAGTTCATGATCACTTTGCTGTAAAGTGGTTACTGCACACACATTGTTGAACATCCTTTGGTACTTTTCGCCAGTTAACAGCAGCACTGTCACTAATGTAACCATCCTACAACATTGGAGTCTGTATTTCTTACCTCCCACCAGAACGGTAGCTCCATTTGGTATATCTTTGACTGCCTCTGCAGGATCTGAGTAGAACCGTGAACGTCTCTGGCTGGAGGTAGAAAAGTAACAGCCACAGGACTGTAGAAAGCAGAACAAGAGCCACATAAAGTATGTTTTCTTTAACTGTTTTTTTTTTTTTTTTTTAAATAGAGCTCCATCGGCAATAGAAACTCATTTTCAGTCATTCTGGATAATATGTTGCTAGTTTAAAAAATGACCAGATGTCTTAGGGCAGCTAATATGTTTGTACAGTTTCAATGGCTGATCCAGTTTATTCAGTTGAGGAAGGGCAAGATAAGCAAAACGGCTGGACAAATCCTACAACAAAAGGCCACAGCCAAGAGTCCCAACCCAACACAGTTAGCAGAAGACTCAGATTTAAAATCCTCTGTGTCAACACTGATCAACTAAAATTATACCTGTGGTGCTCAGACAAAGTTTTTAAAATGATTTTAAATGGTTGGTTTTGGCACCATTAATTTCAGCTGCAGGGACTGGAACCATGAGGAACTTCCCAATACCCATTGGTGCTGATTCTACACATTTGTGATTTCTGACTCCACACCGCTTTGCACTGTGATGTTCCGATCCTGCTCCTCATTCATCATTTTTCTTTAACTATAAATAAGGTGATTATACACACTATTATGCAATACTGCTTACTTAAGAAAATCTAACATTTGCCTCTGCAGTTTAATATATGTTGTGTATGAATTACAAGAAGAAAGGTCAATTTTGAGAATATAACGATGTTAACTGAGTATTTCCTTTTCTTCCTCCATGCATAACACACCGTATCCATCTTCACTGATCAGACTTTAACGAGACTTCTTCTTACTATCGAAATTCTAGGAGAATGTTTCTAAAATAAATTTAGTTACACATTACATTGATGTAATATTAGACATGACTACCATGTCAGAATACGGGCACTGACGAAAAGGAAAGATGATGAAAACACTGTAATGTGTTTGCATGTAAAGCTATGCTGGTAGGGGTGGATTATGAAAGCACTTGTGATCACTTCACAGACAACACACACACACACACACACACACACACACACACACAGGTTCACACTTGTTAACTGCTGCATGTTAAGCTGAGGGTTTGACTAATGGGCACTGTGTGTTTCAAGTCACTGATGCATGCAATGACATATGAGCATAAATGATCAAATTCACGTTGTGTTTAAGTGAAAGTTATCAATAGTTATAGTAGTTATTACACGTAATATGGCTGCGAAATGTGTTGACGGAAATATTGAGAATCCCCGCCAGCAGCTTGAGGTCAGTGATATAATTGAAAAGTAAACAAAAACAATATGTGAGGATTCAAAAATGACATAAATTCACTCGACTCCGAAATGTTGAACAACAAAGGGAATAAAGTCTCCACAATATTATGACCTTCTTCTATAATCTTGCCCAGATATCTGCAACCATCTCATTTCAACCGAGTTATTTCTACAATGAATTGCCGTCTGTCACCATTAAAATACCGACCTTGCTCAATTGGAGACACGCCAAGTTTAATTTGGCTCTGCTGCGACCTGAGAGGTTTTTGAAGAATACATTCTCCGCTCTGCACAACGCTTTGAGGGCCGCCATGTTTTGAAGCTGCACACTGTGTATGAGCCGAGGAGCAGAGTGAGAGCTCCAGCCGGTGGAGGCTGAAAGGACGCAAAATGTGCCTACCAGCGCTGCTAGCTCACACACCGAAAAGTCAGCGCCACGATGACATTGGCTGGTGTCTTAATGGGCCGGGCTAGCACAAGTGGATTCAGAGAGGCTCGACAAGCTAATTTAAATTTAACCCTTTCACTTCCACCACGCTGCCATAAAATTACCCCACGTACGTCAGGATGCGTTAACGTTACAATTATAAAGAAAATAATTTAAAAAAATAAATAATAAGGTGTTCGTATGAACGTTCACGCAATGACTATTTAACAGCACACTTTGTTTGTGTAGCTAACCCGTATACACGTATACACATAGACACATAGACATAGACACACACACACACACACACACACACACACACACACACACACACACACACACACACACACACACACACACACACACACACACACACACACACACACAGAGAGAAATGACATTCTATGAGCACGTGAGTAATCCCTGGCTCACGTGACGAATACTTTAGTCATGGCCGACGAGTACAGGCGACAAGGTTTCGAGTTGGAGAGAAGGATATTTGAGTTAGACATCAAGTGTTCTAGTCTCAGAGCCGAAAAGCAAGGTATCGATAAGATTTTTTTGTTGCTTTTGTTTTGTCATGTGGCCACTCTTGGCACTTCGTGTGCGAGGCTCTTGTTCAGTTTACTAGCCAACTAGCAAGTCAGCTAACGTTATCTAACGTAGCTTGCTACCATAACAACAGCTGCTGTCTGACGAAATGTTGCATGTTGACAAATAATACTTAGCCTGCAGTTCAGTCAACTAACATGTGGTACAATGTTGCTTAGTAACGTTTACTCGCTGGCCGATCGTTGTTTGTTTATTTTTGACTACCTGGATGTTCGAGTTAAGGGCTAACCTAAGTTCGCTAACGTTAGCAAGAATGCGTTATTGTTGACAAACGTTTCGCCAGCAAACATGATGCTGCGTATTATTGAACATACCAGAGTTGAGAGTTAGTTGGCGAAGTAACCTTGCCATTATTTTTAGGTGGAATTGTTTCTTTATATTTGTCATTACATTTCAACATTATCAAATGCTTGAAAATAATAAGTTACACGTTTATTGCCATGATTGTTATTATGTTGTCGCGTAGTCCTGCCTTTGACATCTAACGTTAAAAGTTGCTCTATTTAAGCCTCAGTGGAATTGTTTTGCATAAATATTGTGTGTAAATATGTAGCGCCAATTATCAACGTTACTGTGAAATGTGTAAGGTTGAAGGCCGTGTCTTGAGTCTAGATCTGTAATTGGTAACATGTTAACATATCGTTCTTCCATAGATGATGACTATTTACAGAATGCGTCTGCCATACTAGACAAGTTGAAAAGCTATTACAGGCAAGGAGGGGAGAGTAGCAACCTTTCCAAGGTGCTCCAGGATTACACACAGGTACTTCATTACATCAAATTTCATTACATGTATAGAAGTGCAATTAATGATTATTTTCATTTGTTATTATTTTTCTTGAACTCAAGGTGATCTTAAATACTACCAGTATTCAATCATGTATGTTTATATAAGACAGGGAAACACATCCTAAAATTTGAGAATGTGTAACCAACAAGTACGCAGCAGTTTTGCTTGATAAATGACATAAGAGATTAATTAGTTACCTAAATTGCTGCAGGTCATTCTTTTGTTGAATGTCAAATCTATAGAAGCCCCTCAGTTTAGCCTTTTGAGTTCAAAATCATATACTATTAACTTTTTGGAAACTACCATGGCTTCAAGAATGCTGGAGATAATGTTTATAGCCAAGCTGCAAAACTAGTTACTTAAAGGTCCAGTGTGATTTGTTTAGTAGGATCTAATGTAATACAGAAATGTAATACAATATTCATATGTATGTTTTCATTAGTGTATAATCAACTTAAAATAAGAATCGTTATGTTTTTGTTACCTCAAAGTAAGCGGTTTCTAATCTGCAGATGCCGCGGGCCACCTTCCTTGGAGTCTGCCATGTTTCTACTGTACCCCAGAACCGACAAACCAAACACTGGGTGTAGATAGGGCCGCTCACATTTTTTGCTCAATTTAGGGCCACCGTAGTTTCTCCTTTTTGGCTTGGAAGGGGAGGGTGAATCTGCAATTGCACTGCTAGATGCTGCTGAATCCTACACACTGGTCCTTTAACTTGGTACAAAGCCTGAAGAGATGCTTAGATTAAAGAAAATGAAAACCAATGGTATACTGGAGTCAGTGCTTATGTAGATTCTTAACCATTTTAGTTAAATTGGTCTTTGTAATGTGAAGTGGACTAAACCTTGGCTGAAAAGCCTAGTTTTTAATATCAAGTTACCTGTAATCAAGCAACTGCTTGCAACTGAAAATTCAAGTTAATTAGACATTAGTAAGGGCACTTAGATTTCAAGTTTGAGAAGATGTTTAATAAGAGTTTTGGAGAAGAAGCTACAGCTGTGGCCTATCACTTCCTAGCAGGAATATTATCAGTTTCATCACTGATTTTATGTACTTTATTAATGAAGAACTCAATAAAGTAATTTATTGAGAATAGGGTGTACGGTAGATTTGTGTAATTCTTAAAATGTTTCATACTTTTCTTTCACTTTGAATTCAGTGTTGGTTGCTGTTATATATGTGTCTGTTATCATTTAGGTGATCCTAGACATCACGTTTTATGAAGAGAATAAACTGGTGGACCAGGAGTTTCCTGAGGACTGTTCACCATTCAAAATTCAGCAGTTGCTGCAAGATCTGACCGAGCCAGAAGTCTTGGCGGGGAGGCTAGCACCAGCACAAGAAGTATGTTTAAATGTATCTCAAAACTATTTTGTGTGGTGATGTGACTGTGTCTCATTGTACGCCACGTGACCCCATCTGTGCTTTTTATGGTTGATTATCAAGTATTCCCAGTAAGATGTCTGTTACACTTTAATTTTGTCTTTGGTTTATGGTTTCACAAAACACACTTGCACACATTTACTTCCATGTTATGGTGTGGCAGCGTTATTCATGTCTTTTGGTCCATTATAGGTCCAGTCTGTGTTGGGCCTAGAGCTGCTGGAATGTCTCTATTGGAGACGCGGAGCTCTGCTGTACATGTACTGCCACACCCTTCATCAACGAAAACAGTGGATTAAGAAAAACAAGGACACATTCCTTAAGGTACCACACTTTATAAAGATCTAAGTAGATTCAGTAAATTGTGTTTATGAACAGAGATGTGAGCTTGACTGATTCTGCCAGACAAATTTACTTTGTTTTTTTTGTTTTTTTGACATATACTGATATTAGTTCTGATGCTCATCTTACTCTGATATTTAAATCCAGTGTATTCAGGAAGGGGTGCGCTACCTGATGCGAATGCTGCAGGTGAGAAACTCTGTGAAGCTCAACGATGGGGTGGTGCTTCATGACACTGCTACAGCAAGCTTCCTATCTGAAGGTAAATATGTCATCAGTTATCTTTTAAGTAACAAAAAATAGTTGTGCTGCTTCAATCCAGTTGTAGAAAATTCTTCAATTGAAGACAACGGGACTGTGATCATACTCACGACCTTCTTATGTTTTTGGCCAGGCATATTCTCAGACACACACCTGTTGACAATGATGTACATCGGGGAAATGTGTTTCTGGGCAGTCAAGTACGAAGACTGCAGCGCTGACACTATGGATCGCAAAGAAGATCGCCTCCAGTTTCGGGACATTGGCACACAGATCCTCAACAAATATGTGCTTGCCTGTGAGGGCCCTCTGCAGGGCCAGGGCTGGAACACAGAGAATGCCAAGGAAATCCTTAGTATTTTACAGTGAACCATGCTGCTTCTGTGTTGAAGTTGCCCTCAGGCACAGATCTAAGTTCAGTATTCAAATGTGTGTCAACCCCAAATAAAAATGGAACCCATCAGGTGGGGTGTAATGTTGTGGAAGGTTAAGGAGAGGCACGGGGAGAATGTGTATGTCAATAAGAGAGTCTTTGGATCAGTGTCTACAGGCAACCTCATCCCATGCCAAACGGCCCAGGCCAAAGCAGGTGAATGAGAGGTTAGAAAGTATAAGATAGGTGGTGTAAAACTGGCATGGGCTGCAGAGGAGGCTGTTGAATATTTTTTTTTGCCCTGTCCTGCTGAAAAAGCAGTTATCATCCTGATTCCAGACTGTTGACTGGGGCACTTATTTTGCTCTGAGAATGTGTTATAATAACATTAATATGAATATAAAAAGGTTATTAATAAGTTGACCTTTTTTTTTTTTTTTAAGAATGTTACAAGTTTGAAGATAATCCAGCTGGAAATGAGACATTGCACAGTAACATTTTATTTATTGTTTTGTTGCCATTTTGTTATGCTTTTAATATATTATAATTGCATATACATTATATATGTATGCGTGTATAAACATATACACACTAAAGGCAAAGAAAGGTGTTCAGAAACAGTTTGACAATGATGTATTCATGTCCATTGAAGTATGTTCAGATCTGTTCATACCAGCTTTGTAATGCGCCACTTGTACTCCCATCTATTGCAAGTTCCATTTTTCTGCCACTTGAATAATCTTGATAGTATAACTATTAATAGAGAATCTGTGTTGTTTGGACGAAGATCATTTTCTTTTTTTATGTCCTCGTTGACAATAAACACGCGCGTTGTTTTATGAGAAACACGTTTATTTTTGCATTACAGCTCAAACTTTCAGTTTCCAAGCCCACGCTCAGCTGCACTACTGTAGGACTACAATACCCATAATGCACCACTACCGCCAGCAACAAGGAAGTGTGGCCCGACAGGGAAACGTCAACAAGTCCATGTCGCTAGGTCCATATGAGCGTGTTTTCTAAGCTATTCCCTTATTGTCACTCACATTTGGAGCCATGGCAGGAAACAGCCAGCAGCTCAGCGAGTCGGTAGTGATCCGCAGTCTCAGGCGGTTCAGAGACAGATATTTCCCGAGCAGTGGGGAAGTTGGCAAAGATGATTTGACGCCTGTTGTGGAGACTGGAGAAGAACCGCAGCCGGGATTTTTGGATAGCTTACCGGTGAGACAAATGCTAATTAATCAACGAATTTCACCTATTCACCTCTCCAAATAAGATACAAGGTCGACTCTTTTACGTTGATGTACAAATTGTCAAAAGTAATGTGGTGGAAAAAACTTTTTTTAAAAGCAGTGTGTTGAAAAACAGAAGTTGTACTTTACTCGACTAATTAATGATACTTCCTACTTCTACTCCACTACTTTTCAGAGGGTAATATTTAGTACATTCGCACTACATTTTTATACACAGTGTCAGATTCTGATATTACACAAACTGAATGATCGGTTTATGCAATCTGGATTAAACTACCCCTGTTAAACTACAATATATAATATATACAATGAAATACTGTGCATCAGTAAGTACTTACAGGGGCCATTCTGAATGTAAAATTACTGTTTGATAGTCTAAGTAGGCCCCCTAATGTTATTGTTATTATTATTATTATTATTGTGCTTTCCTTTAAGTAATTTTAAAATATTATAAACATTTATTTTAGACCAACATTTTTTTCCCTTTTGTGTATTTTTACATTTTAATACATTTTCTGGGGTTTCTTTTCCGTCTCCATCCCCTGCTTCTTGATACTCCTTGTAATAAATTAGAACTAAAACTCATGGGCTCAGAATCAATAAAACACAGCATCCATCTTGCTATGTGGGTACCTGGTGTATCACTTATTAAAACAAACAACCATCATCATATCCTTTGTCCTTAAGGTGGACCTACAGTTCCTGATCATGACATTTTTGTCTCCTGCTGATATCTGCCGCTTTGGAGCCACCAGTCGGTACTGGAGGGCCATGGTTAGAGATCCGTTACTGTGGAGGTACTTCCTGCTCAGGGACATGCCATACTGGCCCTCCATTGATCATGTGACCATGCCCCATCTGGAGTTGTTGGATGCACCACTAATCAATGAGAATGAGACCCTGGACGATAGAGAAGAGGGGGAAGACAAATGGATGAAATCGAAATTTGACTATATGTCAGAGTGGGTATCTTCTTCTGCTGTCACACATCAAGGTCAGTTGGTAAAATGTTGTTAGACAAAGATGTTATTGACCACAGTTTTTGTCTCAACAGATACCTGAAAGGCTGCCCATCCTGCAGACAACAATGGCTTCCTTCACGACCGGCGTACGAGGTTGTGACCTCATTCCTTCAGTCGCTGGTGCCCTCATCTGAACCGCGTTATGCCATGTTCGGACCCGGCATGGAGCAGCTGGATGTCTCTTTAGTCACGAGGCTCATGCATGCCCCAGATGTGCTTCCTGTGTCGGGCACTCCACACAGACAGATAAATGGTGAGATAACATTGACAGTTAGTGCTGCTGATGAAGGATGAAGCTTCTCTTGGTCCTTTTCATCATTAATAACACAGTGACAACTCCTAAACCAGTCCAGCTTCTCCTTCCTGTAAATGCGGCTGTCACTGGAATCAGATTGCTGTACACCCAAACAATAATGCTGGTGTTATACAAATATTACATTAATGCATTTCATTTCAATCACACATAGACTCAACCACGAGAGAAATTTTAAAAATCACGTCATCTGACTTGTTGCAGGTTTACTTGTTCACCACTAGGTGGCAATGTTCGCCTAAAATTGTTGTCTCACAAGTTGCTATCAGGAAAGAGAAACTAAGGAATGTAACCAAACTAATGTTCACCACTTTTTATTCTAGGTATCGGCTCTGGGATCAGTTACATGTTCAACAACCAACACAAATTTAATATCCTGACACTGTACTCAACCAATAGGTACACTTTGGAGTTACCAAATGAATTGCAATCATTTATCTTTTTTATTTTACTTTAATACAGACATTGAATTCTGTGTGTTTGTGTGTGCAGGGCAGAGAGGGAAAGAGCCAGAGTGCAGCAGCAGAGCATCAGTAATAAACTTTTTACGTTTGGAGGAACAGATGAGTCAGGCTACCCAATCTACAGTCCTGCTCCTCAGGTGCAGGAAGTATGCCAGGTGGTGGATGGTTTTATCTATGTAGCCAATGCAGAGCCTGGGAAAGGTAACATAAGAGGATATTTCTATTTCTTCTTCTTCTGTGCGACTGTGTCACATTATGCACGTTGGCTGTTGTCTTATCAATCACCAGCGCAGAACACTGAAGACAGAAACGTGTCTTCAATAGGTGAGGGGGAGTCCGAGGTGGCTCAGATTCGGGCCGTGCTGAGCTCTGCCGGGGGTTCAGCATCCAAGCCTCTGCTGGTGCTTTCCTGTGTCTCCAGAGAAGAACCAGAAGCAGTCGGATCAGCAAGCCTGCAAACTATTACCAGCAGAAACGGTGCCAAGTGTCGGACTCCCTGTGTTGACATAGCGAAGAGACTCGGCCTACCCCAACTGGCCATCCCCTGGATGGTAACTGTCTGATTTTTCCACTGCATTTATATCCATCCAGTGTCAATTTAAGAATATTTTCAACCTGTGTTTCTCTTTCTTATTCAGGTGCAGGACACAGTGGCAGAATCCCTGTCAGGTCTTCTGGATGGCATTTCCTGGTTGCTGAGATGTTCTGGAGTCAAACTCTAGCTAGTGACCTAACCTAATTAAAACCACAGAACTCTCGCACTGAATGTCTCAGGATAAGAGCACTGCACATGGAATGTTGATATATTATATGTTAGTATAAGTTAATTTATATGCCATATCATGGTACATGTTTACAGTTGGTGAGCTGCTAACTGACCTGTTAGCCCACTGGTTTAATACGGGACAGAGATTGTACATAATTTGTACAGTTAAGAGTGTTTGTCAACAATCTGTTGCCTTTTGAAAAATGCTGAATACTTTACATCTTTTTGATTTGTTGCACAATGACTTTGTTCTACAAATGGTTTTAGAATTATATGTTTTTCTTGTGGTGAATGAGTCACACTTTCAGCTTCCAACGCTGATAACGCACTGTTAAATGTCTGTTAAATAACCAGTAAATTGCTGTAATTACAATGACAAAACTATTCTCTGTTAATGAGTCATGTTTTCTCTCTTCTCCATTTCCTTTTCTTTTCTTTGTTCTTATTTCTATCTCATGCACATATTCACAAGTTTCAAACAGCAGTAAAAGGTATTTTCTTTCTAGTCTGTTAAGTAATGTGCCACAGTCTTGCCCTGTGGTTCCTTTCCTCTGACATCAGCCCTGGAATGAAAACTTGAATCCACAAGCATGGATGAATATCCTGTTTGTCCACCAGGGAGCGTTCCTGGTAGCTGTGTGATAAGTTAATGAAAGGTCTGCCTTTGATTTTTCTTATAGTCGACATTTTATAGAAGTTAAAAGTAGGTTACCAACATTTAACTAACAAATGCCAAACAGGAAAATCTTGGCAATGTATTGGTCTCTTAATAACTTAAGCACACAAGGCTTTTTGCATATCAGGCAAGCAAGAAAAGTGCACAACAGATTGTGTAATATTAAAGTAGAGTAGAAACCCGCATTTGGACATTCTCTTCATATTAGATTTACATTGATTGAAAATGATTCAATAAAGCTATTCATGTCAAGTTTAGCAGTTGTTCATTTTCTGAAATGTATTTGCAGTGCAACTAAATGATCAATTTACAACAATGTGTTTAAGTTGTGTTTGAAAAAATGACAACCTGTTTAATATTCAGTGTCCCTGGCTGCAGCGTTCACATGCCCTAATGGTAGCATGTAAGGATGACAAGATAATGTGCTTGACTGATGTGCTTTTGTTCTAGTCCCCTAGGTAACCACAAACCCTTGGTTAAAGTATGTTCCCCCAGCAGCTCTTCCATCAAAAGGTTCCTTAGTCTCAACAATCATTTTCATAGACATACAGATTGAGAATAGACCATGATTGGTGCAATTTAGGTGCATTAAGCTGAGCTGAATACTGGCAAAGCGGAGATTGATTCCCCCCCCCAGTGAAATCTAAAGAGAAATGATGGAGGAGTTGTCTGTATGTATTCCCACTGTATGTGTGCATTTGTGTGTGTTTCCGAAAGAGGCGGACAGACGATATCTGACTTTTCATCTCAACACATCTCTCCGCTCTCTGTAAACAGGATGTCTATCTCTTTGGTCCTCACTCCACAGTATTGACCTACATAGTATGTTTGTCTGCCTATGTGTATGTGTGTGTGATTGTGTATGCATGTTCACGCTTACACAGACTGTCCAACAATGACTCTGCTAATATAATATAAACGATGGGAACCTGTTGTTAGGGCAGGTATGCAGGGAATAACATTGCTTAATCCTTTGTTATTACTCTGTGATCCTGATGGAGCCAGTTGAGGTAGAGGCTGAACAAGGACTGCCACTGTCATTGTGGATGAATATGTAAGGTTTGCAGTCAAAGTCTGAATGAATGAAGAAGAGAGCTTGTAGATGAACTACTTTTATGTCAATGCAGGCGAAAGAAAATAAGCTGTATTAATAAAGTAACTCTGGGTTTGCAGCCAGGATTTGTTGGCTGGAACTCTGGAACTCGCTTCAATTGGATATTTTCAAGGTCTGTTTATTTAGACCGTAGACTGTGAACCATTAGCACACGTCCCTACATAATGGGGGGGGGGGGGTTGAGGAGCAGACCTCCAGCTGCCTCTTGTCTTCCACAATCAAAGGGGCCTCTGGGACACAAGGAAGAAACCAATATTTACTGACCCAAGACAGTTTACAGACGCAAGAAGTCTGCACAATTAGAAATTAGTCCAACTGAAACGTTACTAATGAAAAAAGAGGAAGCTGTTCACCAGGCTTTTTGCCCTCATAATTATCAATACTGTATTCAGAATGACTGAATCGCATTTGTGATTTAAGCTTGGTGTAATGCCAAGTGGTAGAGAGGTGTGCCCGTGTGTGTGAAACAGACTTTCTGCAGTTCAACTTATAGCGTTCTTTCCACAGCCTGAGGCAACAGAAGAAGAAAATATCAGCAGTATTGCAGAGCCAGTCTGTTTACTTATGTAATATGAAGAATGTTTCACTAGAGGTATTTCCTATATATTCCCGGAGGTTTCCCTGCTCAATGAAACTTAAGTTTTCTTGCTGTTAAACATATATATGCTTTTCAGCATTTGTGGAATAAGTCAAATGTTTAATTTGGAGTACCGTATTTACCAGGAACTATAATTCCAAAATAAATGGTTCTTTTGACTTTGCACAGACATTAAATCAAAATATGCTTTCTGTTGAGTACATATTATTCAAAACACTATTTCTGTGCACCTACATAAGAAAATAAGTAGGGTGGGAACACAAAACAACACCTGTACAACATAAAAGATTGTGCAATAATTATTACAGTTTCCTTGTTAATAATATTACGTTTTTGTTGAAAATGTATCTGTGCTTTCCAATGCTGAATACATACAAAGTGCAGTACAAAGTAACCGCTGTTAATCTAATGAAGATTTTTTGCTGTGTTAATAATTGTTTGACTTGAAAGAATGAACTTGGCTGTAAACACTGCTCACAGGGTTAAATACAGTAATCACAGCAACCAGCGTCATTGCACAGCCTTTCTCAGACTGCTTTTTACATCACCGCCTCCATCTTCTGCTGTCCCTCTTCTTCACCTTTGTCTCATCCCACTCTTTTCACTCTATCCTCCTTTCATTAGTGTTAAGTCCCTGATTTGTATTCAACGATAACAGCCAAGATTAAAGTAGGCATTGAAAAAAAAAACACCATTTGCATGATGCATTCACTGATTAGGCTAAGCGTCCCTCTTAATTGTGTTGTTTTGCACATGGTGGGGCTCTCATGCTGATACTCTGTGGATCTTACTCATCCCATGCAATTCACTTCAATTTCCTCCCCACATCACTGTGTCCGCTCCACCTACCTCCTGCTGTCATATATATGGCAGGTTAGGGACTCGTAATACTGGATTAGGGTTCAAGAGTGTTAATAGTGAATTATTTGTGAATCACTCTGAGTCTACCAACAGCTCCGTAATAAAGAAGATATAGAACCAGGAGCACAGTGATCTGTTCCTATACTTGCTGCTGCTGTTGTTATTTGTGTGTGTGTGTGTGTGTGTGTGTGTGTGTGTGTGTGTGTGTGTGTGTGTTTGTGTGTTCCCCCTCTAGCCATCTCCTCTCTCTTATCCTAATCCAATAGGCAGCAGGGTGCTGACATAGTTGTGAAAGGCCACACTTGAGATGTGAAACTGCACTAAATGCATTACAGGTGACTTGAAGGGGATGACACAAAGGGCACTCTTTCATTATGTGGAAAATACAAACAGACAGCCAAACACAAATAGATCTTACATGGCTATTGAAAGGGATAGGCAGAAAACCAATTATGGCAATATGGCTGCGACTTATGTTGCCTGAAGGAGCTATGTTCAGTTAGACGGCTCAGACATTAAAATGAAACAATCTCATGAAACCATCCTTAAAAATGTTATTTTGTGATTAATGCATCAATTCTGATGAAAATCAAAAGTTACCTGTATATACAAAAAAGTCTGGTAAAATATTTTGCTTTTGGTCAACAACTAATCCGATGAAAAAAACAACAAAGTTGATCCTACTAACAAATATTGCCCGTAAAAGCCTGATATTGTTTATTCCACTGTGCCATAGACCTCCACTGCTGCCCAAAGCCTATTAAAAAGACGCTGTTACACATGCCTTTATTACACTGAACGGGCACTGTGGACTGCACACATCGTCCCCCTGCTGTAAATTGTAAACTAAATCTGCAGCTGAAAATAGTCCCCAACAAATTCAGTATTTACTTCAGTATGACTAATATTTGCTAAAAGCTACAGTGCCCAGCTGTTTATGGGCCTTTTAAAAAAAACTTAAACTACCTATGAGTCATTTTTTTAAGATTTACTTCTTCAGGAGAAACCCATCAGTTTAGATTATTATGTTGCAGCTGTGATTATAGCAGAATGACAAGGTAGTTATCAACAAAAGCACTTGCATGTGTTGTTTTAAAAGAAACCGCTGCACATGTGCATTGAACAGCTAGTGGTCTCAAACTTAAAAACCCCAGTGACAACATCTGCCACAATGACAGAGGATATCACTAAAAGGCAACATAACTGTGATAGCTTCTGCAACGTCTAACAACAGTGTTCACCAAACATCCCACAGAGGGTGTAGCTGTGAGGGGAACCTACTTCCAGCCCTCCAGCGCAGGCCCGGTGGTATCAGTCGTAGGCCGGATGCATTGTTCTGTTGTCACATTCAATACAGCATAAGTCCACATGATCACACAGAGCAGACAATCACAGGAATGAGTATTCCATAACAAAGGAACTAATTCAATGGCCGCCCCCACTCTCCTCCAATCAGAGCTCTCTGTCCCATAACTGACCGCGACATGGACATGTTCAGGGGTCATTTAATACAAACAAATTGTTTGCCAGTGCTGGTTCTGTTTGGTAATTAATGTCACAAAGTGCCCATAGCTTACTGAAAGGCCAGCAAATTAGAGTAACCCTAATATTGCTTGAATTTACTTTTTGTTTAACTGGAATAAATAATGAAAACAATGTCACTGTGCATATTGACAGAGGAGGAAAACTTGTAAACCTCATTAAATATTTTTTTTATCTTTTAAGTTTTAGCTTTTTCCTCTGTGCTACAAGTCATAATTTACAGTATTTGTTACATAAGAGCAAGTCTCAATCTCAATGTGTCTCACTGAGTGTTTTTATGTGCACTGCAACCAGAGGACTTGGAAAAGCCAGGCCATAACTTGTGGACCTTGTAAACGAGAAGGGGACAGGGATATAAAAATACAAGGATGGCTCCGCTCAATGCAGACAGGCCAATTCCATTTCTTTCCCCTCACATCACAAATTATGTCAACAGTGCATTGCCAGAGAGAAAAAGGGGCATTGCAAAAAACATAGCCTCCCAGGCCTCATCTGTGTCTCTGTCTCTCTGTCTGTCTCTCTGTCTTTGTTTTTATTTAGAGCTGGCCATCTTGAATAGTTCCAGTTTATGCTGTTTTCCTAGCAGTAAAATATCAACTTACATTATGAACTGGGCCCTACTGGAGGCTACAGGCTAATAAACATGTCTGTTATTGGAGAGAACAAAGGGCTCATTTTGTAGGGTGACTTATGATCTAACTTCAAGATATATCTGGGTCATCTAAAGAAATATTCACTGGATGGCAAGAGGGTGGAATGGAGACTTTAGGGTGTGGCAGAAATATATGCTGATTTACACAAACAATAACCTATATCAATATGGAAAAGCCCAAAAATGAAGATATTCTAACTCAAAAACATTACATTATTGTGGCACTATAACTTGTTTTATGTCTTTTTTCATTGAACATAGGCATATCACTTGTAGACTGAAACGTGGCCATAACAGATTATTAGGAATGATGTAGTATTCATTTCTTTTTTTTTTTTTTTTTTTTTTAAAACATTATTTTTAAAATGAATCTAAATCAAATTGTTAACTTTGATACCATTTGATACCAAACTGGGGTTTGGGACCTCTAGATGCTGCATATAAAGTGAGGTAAGCTATAACAGGACGCAGAATTTAATGCAAAATGAACAGTTGCTTTGGCTTTAACACTGCAGTTGGTTGTATTTTCCCAGTCTGCCTTGAGATGATTATCGAGGTCAAATCCTGAAAAGAAAAACAATCACAAGGTCCAGGCAGGCAAATACATACATGCAGTGTATGTACAGAAAAACCTGCAAGCCAGCAACAACAGCTGGGCGCATGGGTGTGTTTTTTCTCTCACGTGTCGGGGCGGGCCGTCCATACTAATTGTTGGCTCTTGGGTCGGGGGGTGTATTTCCACTGACAGCTGAAATTCTGGGCGAGCCTCTCATAGCGTCACTTCTCCAGTGGACCCTCCACGTGAGCCCTCACAGGCTGCAGTTTTTTAGACAGACGCAGATATTCGTAACAGCAAGCTGTTTGTAGGTCAGCGCACTTGTGTTCCATAGTATTTCGGTCACTTTATTTGGTATTCACACCTATTTTTAGCTTTTCTAAAATCGTGCAAAGCCCTTCATTCATGTTTTGTTAATGACTTCCACTTTTTCAATCCTCAGCCTACACATTCACACACATTCACAAACATTTTATTGCAATTATGGTATTAATGCCAGCCAGAAATAAAAATGAATGTGATTCTTACCAGCTCTATAATCCATGGCACTATATTTCCTGTAGTGTCTCTCTGTACAGCCATCTGAAGGCAGCAGGCAGGGCCTATATCTTCCATGTGCAGTCACTAATTTGACTGATGATGCGCACTGTCAAGCCACAATTACGCACGGAAGATCCGCTGGTTAAATTTGATGCAACAAGCACCAGATTGTTGCACAAGTAACCACAGAAACCTCTGTGCTCGTGTGCACGTAAAACAAGTCGGTTATGGTCAAATTATTTTCCAATGTAAATCAACATATTGGAGACTGTAACAGTTCACACAGTTCCATTAAAATTTGTGGATCACTTAAAACGCCTTTTTCCACTAATATCCATCCATTCACAACCATCTGATCCGGTGTCTCCACCCAAAACACCGGATAACGAGGGCAGAGGCTGCTTTCCTTTAACGTCCGACCAAAGTACCTGCTGGAGCCCAGTATTATGGATACATACAGGTCGTCGTGTGGCTGTGATGAGCCCTGTGTTTTAACGGGATGAAAGTATAGTGAATGCCATTGGCCCTGATTATCACAGCCTCTAACACACACAGCTATAACATACATGTATATATGACATGGTATTCTTTCGGGTCCACAGGTGCGCCAGGTGAGTCTGGCCATAAATCGCTCCGGACGCACTGGGCAGGGCTCACTTGACTGTGATCTGAGCCGCGTCACTATCAACCTGTCGAGGTAAGGAGATAAAGTAGACAGACGATGATTGAGGACAGACAGGTAAGACAAACAGGACGGACATCTACAGTATCTGAAACATGAAACATTAATAACAACATATTGAATAAAACACAAGAAAACTGCATGATTGAGATTTTTCTTTCCAGTTTTGAGTCAGCAGCAGCTGAGCTTGTTCGTTTAATTACCCTCCACCTCGACCATATGGACCCCACTGTTTATCCCGATGTTATATTATTTCCAAGCAGACTTGTTCATGGTCATATATTATTACTCATGTGCACGTAAGCTATCGCGCGCGCATTCAGGGCTGCCCCTCCTACTGTTCCCGCGCACTTGGTTCTCAATGAATGGTATTTGCATATAGAAAGAGACGAGCAAACAAGCGTGGTGTACTTTGAAACATACTTGGACTGTATGGAGGTTACATGCACTGCGCATCTTTTAGGGAAACAGTCTCCTCCAGCCTTTAATGTAAGCAAAGCTGCCCTTTATACTGAAGAAGATAATGATAATGGAAAATGTATTTGGTCCAAAATGTAATTGAACAACTGAGTCTGCAAGAACGTATAACCTTAATTATAGATAAAAATAAGTCAATGTATGACTTTGCTTAACAAAAATCCAATAACAGGCTCATCGGTTTAAAATTCAAATATGTTCTAACGAGATTGTTCTATGTTTTAGGGCTATTTCTCCTTTAATAAATAACCTCCTAAAATTATTTTTGCTACTTGAGCCTACGGGGGTTTTATTTTGGAAGTTTGGCCGGGCAGTCCTTCTCTCTGGCTGTCCTCTCTGTGGCCATAATGGAGTAGATTGGATTGTTGGCGGATGAGGGCGCCTCACCGCCATTTGAAAACACACACACACACACACACACACACACACACACACACACACACTGGCTCTGTCTCAGCTACGTAGTGTGTGTAGCTCTGAAAGTGAGCTGGATGATGAACTGAGCAGCAGATAAGACAAACATATTTAACAGGAAAGCGTCACGGACCCGATTTCAATGATTGGGTGATGTGAAAAAATCCCGATCGGAGGGATCTTTCTGGGCCGAGTGGGCTTGAAGTGGAGGAGCAGGACTTTTTCGTGCCTGTCGGTGCTCACGCTGGCCATCAGATGACCAAGTTGTGAAAAGTCGATCTGCGCTGTCCTTGCAGTTTTTTCGCCTCGGGACTTCATATTTAAGTAAGTGCGTTTACGTTTTCTAATACGTACAGTGCGTCTTTTTTTCTGTGTTCATCCATGTCTCCAAAAAGTCCACGTTTTAGGCAGCGAACACACCACTCGGGAAAACTTTACTGAAAATGCATGACATTTTTTTCTTTCTCTTTTTTCTTTCTTTTGTTTTTTTACATTGCTGGCTGTTCGTAGCAAAATAATTTTTATCCGGTCGAACATGGAGTATGCTTAACCTGCTGTTTGACATAATGCGCACTGCGTGAAATCACAGAAACTTAAGGTTGTCTGAAATTCCGCAGCAACTTGCGGTTGCAAAAGCAGTTGGACACCCAGGGGATGGGATGAAGTGACTGCCATGGTTGCTCTTGACGGATGTAGCCTCGCTACCTGGACTGTTATCTCTTAGGGAGTTTAATCTGGTGCTGTGTCAGACATCATGCTGATACATATCAAAGCCTGGGGGAGAAATAGATTACATCTGATTCAAATGTGATAGAAATGCAGGATCAAGCCTTTACATTCTATAACTTTACAGCTAAAGCCAAAATACTCTGAACATCCTGTGTTGCTTCATTGTTGACACAGACGTGTGTATTGATCTGCATCAATGGAGATCAGTTAGTTTGCTTCGGTGACCATAATATACCTGCTTATGTTACTGTAGATGACAGGAGGAGTGCAATTGTGATGGTATTGTCTTTAACTATTTTGCTTAATCCACAAATAATGACAAGTATCAATGAGAGAAGTTCCAGATGATGCCTTTAAACTGCTTGGTGGGTTTCATCAACCATGCACAACAAAAAATAATTCAATTTACATTAATAGGAAACTGAGAAAAGCAGCAGGTTTCTTTTTTCCCCATTTCTTTTTTACTGAAATCAGCAAATATTTAGGATTCTTTCTGGATAAATGACTTTAACGCTTCAAAAATGCATGACAAGAAATGTCAGCTACTCTTGTCAGCTTCTCCTCTCAGTTTGCATGCTCTTCATCAGTGAGCGTCTGACTGTTACTGACTACAGGAGAGCACCTTTGCTCCTCCGCTGTTTTGAATAGAAAGCACACCACACTGTGATGAGATGCAGTGTGCATATTTGGCCACTATAGAAGGCACACACTACAATAAGGTAATAAACTCATTAGAAAAAAGGTTTTATTGTACGGTTGAATCACATATATTGAGTACTGCATGTTTATTACATCCACTGGATGGTGATAATTTAGAAAAGCCAAAATAGGAATAATCAACAATCCCTGACACTGATATGTGAGATGCATTGATGCGTTTTACAAATATAAAATAATATTTACCTGAATATAGCTGAATCATATTGAATAGGATTTATTATTATAACAGTTGCTCAGTAAGTACTTGTGTAGAGAAAAAGCATGACGAGAGACATGCATAATGGCAGCTATTATGGTATCCACCAGGTAGCTGAATCAAGAGATTTTTTAATAGATGAGGCGAGGAGTTTTTAGGAGTTGTTAGTTCCATCAGTTTCCATCTCAGCGTTCGCCGCACTCCCACATACAATATTACATACTGTGTAATGTTCTATACCCTTTGACAGCTCAGGAGCACTCTGGAAACCATTAGATTTTATACACATCCGTGTGCACTCGGTCTTTAGTGTTGTGCATGGTTGTCAGGATGTGTGTGTGTGTGTGTGTGTGTCTGACATAGATGGAGAAACAGCCGGATTTAGAGCAAATTAGAGAGGTACATGCTGCATCTATACTTAGTCCTCCAAAACAACAAGTGGGTTGATAGAGACTTTTATTTTTTCTTTTAAATGGGATTGCACTAAATGTGTTCCATTCAAAATAATTCTAAAAAGTTAAAACCAAAATCCTGATTAGTTCACATGTGGCTGTCAAGTCTGATTAGTTTGAATGAATTGTCTCTGAAATGACCAACCAGTTATTTTACCAATGACAAGCAGCTGTAATAGATGAAAAAGTTAGATGTGGGGGAGCAATTTAAAAAAAAAAAAATTTACTTGACAGCTTTCGTTTTAATTTCTTTAAAAAAAAAACACTGCATGCCCGTGCATGCACACACACAGTGGAATGCTGCAAAGCAGAGCTTTTCCACATAGATCAATTTTCAGATCTGCACAGCAAACACTTTCTCTGTTCCTGCTTGACTCCGTCTCTTGCTTGCACCTTTCTTGCTCCTGCTCTGATACACACACTTGATATTATACATACACACATGCACGCGCATACACACCACCCACTCTTTCTTTCTCTCACCTCCACACACACAGACCGTAGCGGGGTTTGCAGATGTGTGTCCTGATCTGCTTCCAGCACAGGCTCTCCTCATGCCAACTTGCTGACTCTGAGTTTTCCACTCTCTCTTATGAAATAAGAGTAGGAGAGACATTAGAGCCATCCTGAAGCCAGATCTGAATGCCTGAGAGCTCCAACAGACACACATACACGCAGGTTAAAAATGCATCCTGTCTGTATTTATACCTTCTCCACAAACGTACCTACTGAGCACACACATGCATACACACACCCTCTCGCCACAGGTTAATGAATTCATGTAAATACATCCAACAGTTGAAGGCTTATTACTGCAGGAGTAGCTGGTTGAGTTGACATATTCGGGCACCGCCTCTTGTCTGAGGGGCTTTGTTAATGTGAACTCTTCCTCACCAGTGTCTGGTGTAACATGCATGCTCATGTTGAAGTCTGTGGTATGTTCACTCAGATTTTGTTTATTTTAAGGAAAGAGGTTAGTGGTGAAAAGGAGGGTCCAGGGCTGAAAATCCTGATTCTTGTGTAATTATTGAGAGACTCAACAGTGGACATAGACCTCACATTGAAATGATCATGTTACAGTATAATTATTTCTCCCACAATATTTGTATAATTATGTATGGTGGTTGCCGTACAGTCATGAAGTCTAAATTTCTTGAAGTCTTAATCGTCATACCGTTAAAGGACACATACAATGAAGTTTTTGTTTTGTGTTTGTCTCATCTTGTAGCACCTATAGTTGTCATTTTATTATGTGAAATTGCTCTAAAGTTGTTTAAACTGTTTCAACCAAAATGACTAGATGAGACCACCAACATCTTTTCTAAATTATTACCAGATGTTTTAGAGCTCTCCAGGCTGCCCCCAAGCACCTGACGTTTTAAGGGCTCTCAGCCTTTGTCCATATTTGAGTGCTTTGGGTTAAAATTTCACATTACAACTTAAAAAAAAGTTACTATTCACAAACTGGGAAGAGGAGGCAGCAGTTTAAAGTAAGACGTAAGAAAGCACAATGGCTGGATATCAAGTCTTGGTCTTTTTTTTGTGTATATCTTGTATGTTCACGTATTTGCGGTGGGAGCATAATGCTGGATACACCACTAGCTAGTTAACGTTTGCACATTTTACCCGAACCGCTTGTTCCTCACTGTGGTTTTATAGCCATTAAAGATTCCTTGTGGCATCGCACTCATGCTTTATTCATATGGGCTTTATTCCATGATTATAGTTGCTTGCCTTTGGTTGAATTTTTGTCTGGCTTTACTTGAGAAATGAAACCCTGAATAGCTTGGGATTTTGTTAAGTAGGCCTGGATGATAATTCAGTGGCTGTAATTACCAAGGTCATACTAAATTGATTCACATCTTCCTTTAATTCTCGTTTATCCCTCAATTAGTCTAGTGAGATAGGCACTTGGAGCTTAGAACATCAGATGTATTTGTACTGATAGATAGACTGCAATGAATGAGAGAGAGTGTCTGAAGAAAGGAATAAAATACATAATGAAGAGTGCATAGTGAGTGAGTGAGAGATCAGGAATGCACTAATGGGAGGCATTACATTCACCATAATGCATTCCAAGACTCAAGGAGTCCCATCCATTCATACATTTTCTCATGGTGGCAGCAGGCTAAGCACAGAGGTCCCTCTCTGTAGCAATGTTTTCCAACTTCTCCTTGGGGATCCTGAGGTGTTCCCAGGCCAGGTAAGGGATCCAATGTGTTTTGGGTCTATACCAGGGTCTCTTCCCAGTTGGATGTGCAGAAAAACCACCTCAACTGGCTGTCACCAACCTCAACTGGATGTCGCCCTGTCTCCAAGCAAGGTACCCTGTGAAGGAAACAAGAGATTGGATCAATACAGCTTAATTTAGCGGATAACGATCAGTTAAAAAATACCTTGATCAGCGCCGAACATTGATCAGATTGGGACATCCGTAAAGATAATATCTCATGCCCATGCAAAAACACATTGGTGCTTGGTCACTTTCTTTTAGACATGGGTTGTAGCAGCAGCAAGTTTGAATCCTAAATCTCTGGTTGCAACATAGGACTATTGCTTTGAATGGATTACCATATATTTGACCACGTTTCTCTCGTAGATGTGTACTTGCATCTTGGGTAGCCCAAAACTGCAATGTTTGACTCTGAGGAGCTTTGTCCATGTTGATTTTCCCTCTAGTGACATGTTACTACTCACCTCTGCCAGCACCTCTCTCACACTGTCTGCCTTACACTTCATATCTGATGTTAATTAATCCATGCCCCTGTCTTATATCTTAATTAGAGCATGTGTGTGTGTTTACCTATACACCACACAGATTGAGGTTGAAAAACGCATTGAGGTTGGTGAATGCAGAGAAAGTCCATCACAACATGGGGTCATAATCCCATTTAAGGATGACCTAATTTTTCTGTGTGCATTTATGTTTGTGCATGCGTGTAATTGGATAATTATGTTAATAAATCAGTGTTTACATGCCTACTCTCCACCTGAAAGTAAACATCTGCATATTCCAAATGATAACTTCTAGTTTGCTTCTTAGCTTTTTCAGGATGTCGTATATTTGTAAATGACTATATATGTTAATCTAATTGGTTATGGTTAGTTAGCATGTCGTGTGTATAGCAATGCAGATCGAGTTGACTGCCTGAAATAGCTCGCAGGATCCATTATAAAAACTTGATGACAAAAGCAGTGATATATATATATGATCTATATTCCGAATGCATCTATTATGTATTTAAGTTACAGTACTACAAAACAAGAGTATCCAAGCATTCTGTGCTTCAGTACTGAAACTGAAACTGTTAATCAATCAACAACAAAACTGCCCTTTTAGACACACAAGGGCCAAATCTCAGCACTATATTTATAGCGAATTCAGGAGCAAGATAAGCTTAGTCATATTTCAGGTATGACTGATGTGTTTGCTCGATGAGTATCACCTGTTTCTTTTCTTCCCTAATAAAAACCCATCCATTAAGTACATATCATTCTGTGTGAATAAATCTCACAAACCTGAATCGTTATTGCCTTGCATGCATCAGAGCCTTTGTTTCTTCATAAATCAGATTTCTTTTTTTTTTTACTTTATCAGGTCTTGATATTTTTACCCAGGGTCCTGTGTGCACTCCACAATCCAGATTGAGACCACTGCAATAGCACATACAATAAAGTTTGTGTTTCTGAGTGACCACACCTCACAAAATGGAACATTTACCTCCCTGGTCGCAAATATTTGGAGAAATCTCCAGCTAAACTTGGGCTTGCAACATCACTCTGTGTGTGTGTGTGTGTGTGTGTGTGTGTGTGTGTGTGTGTGTGTGTGTGTGTGTGTGTGTGTGTGTACGCATGCTTTTCTTCTACAGCTATAGAAGAGACTAACTGAGAGATTATGTGACCTCTCACCCCCTAACCTTTCTTTTTCTTTGGCTTCACCCTCACACCATCACCCCATCTACTCCTAACCTCCTCCCCCTCTCTTGTCAGCTCCTTTTGAACAAACACAGATGATTAATAGAGATTTGCGGAAACATGGGAGAGGCATGGTGCTGGCAGTGGGGTGCCAAGTCAAGATGTTGCATGCATGTGTGTGTGCGTTTTAGGGCAGAGGTAGTGGGAGGAAGGTTGACCACAGAGGCCTTAAATGTTTACCAAGGGACCCCAGGAGGCCTGGGCTGAGCCTCCCTCTTTTCTGATTGGCTCAGCCAGCCTTCCTGCCAGTCTTAGAGTCTGTAATTGGCCGAGAGCAGGACAGGAATGGGGGAGAAACGTGCACGAGATGGAGATGAAGCACTAATCTTGCCATGGCTTTCACAGACACTTTCACATGAGAGAGGGGGAGACCAATGTTAGGCTTAACATGAGGCCACATGTTGGAGTGGAGGGAGTGTTTGGCCCTCTTCTATAGTACTTTGATTTCTCAGCTGATTAAAGAATGTTAAACTTTGAAAGAAAAGACAATATGGAAACCCTCCCGTAGTCAGAAAGAAAACTGGTTTTAAAGTGCTCATCAGTGGGATTGTTAAATTTAGCTTTTGATGAGGGAAAATCTTTTTACATTTTTTAATGATTTTAGAATGACAGATTATCAAACCTGAAGGGAGAGGGAGACAGAGAGGGTGTGTGGACGAACTTGGGCAAGATGTCAAATGCAGAAAATGAGCAGTAATTGATTGTAAATGGAGCATTTTAGTCAGGCCAGATGAGTCTGCTGCTTGACAGCTCTCTGCCATAAATTCTTGCATTGTATAACCTGGCCTTGTATGGCCTCTTGGCCATACACACAGACACTTTGAATTCATCCACACACACACTTATGATTTAACGTTTGTATTGACTCAATATTTTGTCAGTCAGTGACTAGTCCATTTTTACAAACTTAAAATTTGCAAAGAAGATGGCTCTTCTTTTTGTGTCCTTGGTGCATTGTTTTTGTTGGGTGTTTCTGCTTCATTCACAAGCTTGTCAGTCTTGGAAATGTGCCTGAGGCGACCTTACTATACCTGCTCAGTAGTAGTCACTGTATATGAAAGTAGAAAATTCTGGGAAACAATCTTTTGGCTTACTATTTTTAGGCATGATGCCTGTAAAAACATACAGGAGAATTTGATACGCTTTATATCTCACTGTAGTTATATGTGGCTCAAAGGGTTCTACACCAGAACTGGGTGAAATACTGGCAGTGTAGCCCTCAGAAACATAGCCTCCACGTTTGGGGTTCCTGGAAACTCAGTGAAGTTGTGGAGACACAGCTGTAAATAGCCAAGGGTGCGGACAGAAAGTTTGGCCTATATTTAGAGGTTGGACTTGACTGGTAGAACTTGTTTGCCAACACTAGCTTATAGACCAGGAAGTTGTTTTCTCTATATCACCGGCCATATGCTTTTATAAAAAAAAAATCTAATCCAATTTTAGTTGTAGCTACAGGCCTGGATGACACATTTCTGTGTTAAAGGTTTTGTTGGGAAATTTAAGTCTAGTTTTGAGAAGGGGAGTCAAGCTCATGGGACATGTTGCTGTGTTGGTGTGGTACAAATTTTGCAAAGAAGTCTTTCTAGATTCTCTTGTATTTTCCTACAGCATGTGATAATTGGAACCCAAAAATCACACTCACTGCGGCTCGTTGATGTGGAATTGATTTGGTTTGGAATTTGAGAAGGTTAAAGCTACTATGAATGAATCAAAGGCTATGTGTAATGTGAATGGTGTAGCTCGTAGGCGTGAACACAGCAATAGTTTTACCTGACTGCAGTTCTCCTCAGCTCTATGGAGCATTTTAGTGTCTTTCTTTTTTTTTTTTTTTTTACTGCCCGCAGCTTTATTGGTTCACTACTGTCATCCACCTCCTATCATCCACAGCAGGCAGTTGTTGCTTTTATGGCAGCTTTTCCCCCCACTGTGTACACCACCTGCCTAGCACCAATCGGCAGACAAGGGTAGCGACTAGCTGGTGAACGTAATGGAGCATTTAGCAGCTAAACGGCCGCATATGTCTCTCAGGAGTTGATGAAGACCAAAACAGAGCTGAAAGGAGAATGAATATAGGATTTGGATTCAATAAGTGTTGAGAGACACGACTCTAAATGAGTTCTAGTGTTGCCCCCTGTCTACTGGATTTGTAAATAAGCAACTGTTTTGCCATATCGACTTAAAAGAGGATAATGTGTCAGTATTGTGTTTACAGCTTGTTTCTGTTGCCCCCAAATGGCCCAATAATGTTCATACAGGTTTAATATTACCACATGTGTGGTTTTATAATTACTGTTATAAAAGAGTCATGTAACATGGACTAAAATAACGTTTTAAAAAAAATAGACCTGGCATCACTGACTGGTTTCCGGGAGTAACAGGCACAATGATAAAGGGTTAAGTTACCCTGATATTTCATTCACTATTAGTTTGTGCAATGAGAGGTTACATAAGAGTGACTTTCTGCTTATGTTTCAAATTACTCTACCTGTTGGCATTTCTAAACCTGCAGTAGATATATGTCTGTATAAAATAATTATAATAATAATAATAATAATAATAATAATAATAAAATCATGGGCAATGACAAAATTATTTCAAATGGGTATAACTTAAAAGATATATTATGATAAGGAATGTCTGATTAGAATTTTTGTTTGTCAAATAAAGAAATTGTTTTAAGTAGTAAGTTTTGAGTACTCAAAAAGCAAACAGAAAAACATGTTTTGTGCATTCAACTTACAAATGCTACTGAGTAACCAGGCATGATAATTAATTATGCTCTGTTCCGTGTTTGGTGTCACATACACCAGCTGAAAATAAATGGCATCCACAATTTGAGCTCATGGGGCAGAGAGAAATAAAGTGAGAGAAAGAATGAGGGAGGTAGAGAGTAGTGAGGGAAGGGTGGGCATGTCATCATGGAGTCCAACTGATAATTATAATCACTGTATGTCTGTCTCCCTGTCATTCTCCCCTCCGTCTCTTTTCCCAGCATCATGGCTGTCTCGTCCTCCTGCTCCAATCTCCTGCTCCTTCTCCTAATTTCCTCCCTGGATTGGCTGTCCACACCAGGATCTGCATTTATGATGGGCTGGGACCACATGACATCATCAGGTAGGTTACAGGTGTCTTTGCACTGCTTTGTGTCAGGACAAATAAGTAGAAGAAATAGATTAATGTGAGACAAATCATTCTTCAGACAGTTTATCAATCTCTCTACATGGAGCTTATCAAACATTAACAAATGTGATTGAGGTTCTGTGTACAGCACGCTGTTGACACTTGTTATCACATCTTATGCCCGACATCAGTTGCAGAATACTGTGTTTGCTCAAATACATGTGGAAATGTTCACTGTTGAGCAAACGCCACACTTTCCTGGTCTGGCTTGTCAAACAGGCTTGTGATCAATAGAGCTAGGGTAAATATATGGCTGGGGCTTCTCTGTCAAAGTCCAGGGACAGGACGATGCAGGATGTTCAGCCAGCTAATCCAGCTGTCACTGAACTATTTGAAATAATTAGGTGAAAGAATGCTGTGGCTAAGAAAAGTGGTATAATTTACCACTTTAAATCCTTAAAGCAATAGGTGGCCAAGATAGGAACTTTAAAATCAATTATGCTATACTGGTCAGAGTCCCGATTAGAAAATTGACTGAGAAAGAAGATTTGGCATCTTTCTCTAATGGTTGAAGCCACTACAGCTGGAATTAGGTGAAAGTGTACAGCCCTGCAACCTTAGCCAAAAGATTCTTGTTTATTTAAAGTCTACCTACTTGCACATGATATAGAGAAATTATGTGCAGATACAGCAACTCCCAAGAAATGGATCAATTCAGATGTTGACTTTGTCAAAACATTATTTATTTTATCTATTTAAAAAAAAAGGAAATTTTGCTGTTTGTCATTTGGTTTTGCTTTATCTGCATTCCTTGGTTTTATGTATATTATGAGGGAAGTTTCTGGAAGCTGTATACGCAGGCATTTTCTAAAACAACCCTTAATTGTTAATGGGCATGGTTATAAGGGAATTAAGTAATTTGACTAAATGCTTACACTGTGGATGTTATAATAAAAAAGTAAATAATGGCACTAAAAAACATTTGGCAAAACAGTAAAAAGCCATCCTTAAATGTACATTTTGGCAAGCCACTGTCTTGCCAGTATATTCTTAGGTGCATCTGTTTATTGCCATCAAGAAGTGAGTCAGAGAGCATGAGACCTGAGAAATCTCCAAACCATCTCTGCCTGTCTGGCTGCTGACACACCTGTTGCCAGAACTGAAAACACACACGTTACCTGGGTAAACACTGGGGGGAATTTTGGCTGTGTGATATGCGCTTTGATTGAGGCCCTATCCATGTAGATATAGTGGTACCTGCACATGTACTCATAACATTTAAATTTGGTACCCTCCATTTGCATTTGATAGTTAGTTTACATGACTTAAATGTCATTTCAGTTATTAATAGTCTGGCTAACAGCATTGGAAATTTTATTTCTATTATTTTTGCAACTTGATTTAGCTGGTATTTAATGTATGTTTGGTTGGGTCTGGTTTGGGAGTTTGACCTTAAGAATATGTGAATTTGCACACAGGATTGCACAACATGACTGAAGTCAAAGACTAATGTGAAAGAAGACACATTTTGATTTACATATTCATCAACACATTCATCTTTACTGATTAGAAATTACCAATTGGAGCGAGGAAGCATTTGTGACAATGAACCACTATATGTCAGACAAATAGTTTGGCACTCACTTGGGCACTTCTTTCTTATGCCTCTGCGCTGACGACAGCCGTGGCTGGAGGCATTCTGTTTTCAGATTGTCCATCCTTCTGTACACACGTCCCATTCTTATGAACGCTGGAATTTATTAAAATTTGGCACAAACCTCTACTTGGACTCAAGTTTCCAAAAGGCCAAAGGTCAACTTCACTGTGACATCATAATGTCCTATACACTTTTCTTGCGATTTTTCGAAGCCTTAACTCAGGAGCAGAAGGGGACATTGTGACCATTTTTCACATTTTGTCGGATACTGAATTGACACTAATCTTGGGTGCTCACAACTGTGGTGATTGTATACATCCTCTGTGCTGACGGGTTGAAGATATGTGTGTACATATATCTACGTTGTAGAATTTATAGCTACTTTGCCGCAACATCCATGTTATATGCATTGTCTTCTGTCATGGCTACAACTTGACCAAACATGTGAACACAAGGAAATGGAACTGGACTTTTTTGTTTCTCTCAATGAACTTGCAAACTAAGAGATATACAGCAGAACAAGAACAACAACGATTAACAAAGTCAACTAAAAGTCAATTATATTTAGAGATCCTTATATCACAAATCAAAAATTTGTCTTAAGGGAAGTCACCATCTGTACAGCAGATGACATCCTATATCATAGATACAGATTAGAGCCTCGACTCAGATGAGGAACAACAATGGGAGAAACCTCAAGAAGACCAACTGAGGGCAGATGTGCAAAAGATGTCGCATGTACAGAATAAACCAACATTACATTATAATCATGATGGATCCGGGAGGTCGATGGGCCACCACAAGTATCACCAAACAGACCTGAGCCAGATTACAAAGACTCACAGCGTATTGTTCACACAGGTGGATAAAAGAACAAACACAGAGGAGGAGAGAGACAAAGACAACATGCACAAAAGGAGGGAGACACACTGGAGGAGAGCCTGAGTCTCCTGGAGAACAGAGATCCAAACATATGGAATGAACATGGATGTTATCTGCAGCTTGATGGGTTGGCAGAAGAAGACAACCTTGAGGCGGTAATTCAAGTTATTTGAGTGGGTTTAGTGAAAAACAGCTGGAAATATTACCACTGGCATGCACTGGAGAATGCCAACTCATCTTGTGTTTTTATGCCAAGTTAAAGCCACACCCTTCTTCTTTTCAGTTTTTTTGGAGGGCTTTCCCTGGGTTTTGGTCAGTGTGTATCATTGTGCAGTCTGCTGCTTTCTAAAGTGCACTGATCAGGGCAAAATTAAGTCAAATCTTCCTCAGCAACATATTAGTTAGTTAAGTTCAATTTGGGGGAAAATAAACCACTCAGTGGACTGATTTGGCACAAATGTTTGAGAGCATTGGTTCAATTATTATGTGCTGTAACATATTGTTCTGCTCTGCTATTTCTTTGTGTTGAAATCCAGTTTGGCTTTTCCAAGTGAAAATAATTCTAGTGCCAGTTCTGGTTCCAAAGCAGCCAACATGTTTTGTTCCACAGATTTTGGTTGTGAATTAACGCCTTGTGTTTTCTTTTAGAGCGCTTGTCATACCATGGCCTTAAGTATATCTGTGTAAACATACTCTAAGCATTCCCATTTAGATTAAGCAATTGTGGTTAATTGCCATGTTGGCATTCTGATTAGAAATGAATGATTATAATTGTTTTTTGGCTTTGTGTCATACATTCTTGATTATTGCTATGGCTTTTGGTCATGGTTTTGTGTTGGGGAAAAGTGGGGACAGTCTGGGTAAGGTAGGTGTTTTTGTTGTTTATTTTGGTGTAGTGGAGTGAAAATCCCAGCATAGAATCAGAGTATCCTGATAAGATACTGCCACAGACAAGTGATGACATGTGAAAACGAGAGCAGCTCCATCAGTTACATGATGTGTACAAAATGGCCAGTTATATCATTGTTATATTATAGAAATATTTAGATAATATTAACACAGAAAGGTTCAACACAGCTAATCTTAATTTTGATAATGCCATGTTACATTTAAAGCAGTGTAAAACAGATGTAGACAAACATACAGGTGTCTCCACAGTACTGTAACTGAATTAGTAAACCACACAGAGTTTCGAGCTTTATGTCTTTGCCCTCAGGCTTTTTGACTTTGTATTTGTTAACAAACTGTAGCAAATGTCTTTATCTTTTTGGGTTTGCACTACTTTTCTGATAAGCTCCCAGACAAACCGCTGATTGCCAGGTAAGGTCAAACCATCAAACATTCTGTCTGGTTAAAATCTGCTCTGGCAAGCTCTGTGGTAGTCTAGGCCTGGTCTTCCTCAACAACCGCTAAAACATCTGTAAACACAAAGCCGCGACTGATAGCATGAGCAAATACACACAGTCTGTGCCTTTCTCAAGCCTACCACTGTATAAACTCCAATCCTGACACCTGCGTTCTACTCTTGGGTTTACACCTAAAACTGTCGATATTTGACCTTTTACCCAATACTCTTTCTCTCAGACACATCTAATAGGTTGCAGAAATTGTTCATTCTTGTTGAACAGAGTATCGGTAAACATTGTGCTTTTGGGGTTCTTTTAAAACCATTTTGTTGTTCCACTTGGGGACCTAATAGAGCCTTCCTGAAATTCTGTGGGTTATGCTGTTTCTGCAGCATTTTTATGTCTGTTGTAGAGACAGCCACATAACAAGCCGAGAGTAGACGTTTGGAGATGCTCCTATATATTTAAAGGCTTGCCAGAGTGATTATAGCCAGTCGTAGTCGTTTGTCTCGATCTGTCTCAAGACACACACACATTCTTTTTTTTTCTCCCCAACCTTTCCTGAGCATCTGTTTATGTGTCTCAGGAGGACTTGCTCCTCAGGCCCTGATAGATTGATCCTGTTGAGTGAGGCTCTGTTCTTGGCCACAGAGGTGGTAACCAGTGGTAAAGAGGCAGAGGTTTGGTCCATCTGGCAGTCACATCTGCTTCAAAGACAAGCAGTGGGTGTGTTTGCTCTCAGCATCGAAGTCGGGGCCTTATGTGGGATATGGTGTCTGAAGTTAAATACAAAGTTGGAAACTAAAAAAGCAGCAGGAAAAAAATGCATATTGTAGATAATGGGATGGAGAGCACATGGTTGGGGAAATTCTCTGTAATAGAAGGATAGCAGCTAAGAAGTAGAAATATATCCTTAGAACTAAATCAAGTTTTAAGGCTTAAAGGGTTTTAAGCAGTACGGCAGACTGAGGAGTAGCATAGAAAAAAAGAACCAAAGTGAAACTGGAACTCTTTTAAATCAGCAGCATTATTTTTTTGCTGATTCTGGCAGAACTTGTGGACAAAAGCGGTAGCGGTAGCAGGCATTAAGGATAACTATAATAGCCAAT